AGGTGGATGGCTTGGGAGAGGAGTGTCAATAGAGGGTGGAATGGGGGTGGCGAGGATCCGTCCCAACATTGCTCCGCGCCCTGGACCCTTCTGAGTTTCAGCACAAGCGCAGAGAGGTGGGGCGCACGCACATGTGCGTGTGCGCACACTGCACATACGTACACATACAAATACACATATACAGATGTTAGAGTCACCCCCCAGCTCCGCAAAGCGCACCCCCGACGTCCACCCCCCCTAGGCACCCACCCGGCATGGCCGAGATGTACAGGTCCGCCTCCACCCTCTCGCCCCCCACCAGCTCCAGCGCCTTCACGCTGCCGTCCTCGTTCAACTCGATGTTCTTGAGCCGCGCGTTCATGCGCAGCTCGCCGCCGCGCGCGGTGAAGTGGTCCACCATCGGCTGGCAGAGGCGCTCCGGGGGGGCGCCGTCCAGGAAGGCCATCTTGCTGCCGTGGGTCTCCTGTGTAAGGGCGGGGGCGCAGGGACGGGGGGGCGGAAGGGCAGGGGCGCAGCTGTGAGGCACGGGCGCGGCAGGGCGCGCACTGCCAGACCCCACCCGCGGCACCTGGACTACGACAGTACACCACTGCCTCCGGGCCACCACACCGCCGCCAACAATCTACCACCACCGCAGCCAACACCACGCCCGCCTCCCCGGCCGCCGCGGCGCCCCCGCACCCGGAGGAAGCGGTTGAGCGCGGTCAGCACGACAGTCATCGACAGCACGTCGGGGTCGATGAAGGCCAGCGCCTTGGCCATAGCAATGAACACCTCCTCGTTCACGCGCGGGGGCACGCCCTGCTTGGCCATCCACTCGGTCACGCTCAGGCCGTCCTGGTCCTCCACGTACCTTGGAAGTTCAACAGGCGGGGGGTTCGGCAGGCAAACGGTCAGTGATGTGATCGAGCGGCTTGGGGGTGCGCCCCAGAGAGGCTGGACGTCATCGGCGTGATGCAGCCTGACGCCCGGGCACATCTGAAGCGCGAGCAAGGCTGGGGTGTAGCGCAGCTGCAGCGCTCTACACGGCGACAGCACAGTTTGAGTAATACTAGCCGTCGAGTTAGAGACCCTGTGGGCTCCAAAGAGCCACACACAGCCTCTGCCGGTGGGCCACATCTGCCCCGCTGCGCCCCGCTCCCACGCCGCCGCGCCCCCCCCTCCTCCCCGCGGCGCTCACTGCTGGCCGCCGAAGATGGCGGGGATGAGGCCGATCGCAAACTTGATCTTCTCCTCCCAGGTGAGCATTTGGTTGTTGCGCAGGATGGCAACAACGCCGTTCAGGGGCGCAGGGATGTCGGGGAAGTCGAAGCGGCTGAACTCCCCGGGGGCGTCGGGCATGGCGAAGATCATAGAGTGCTCCTTCCTGGGGGTTTGGGTTGTAATGGGGGGTTTAGGGCATCGCTTCAGCACGGCTCCCACCCAGCTGGGCGGTGGCGAGCGCCTGCAATGCAACCTGGGTTGTCACGGTGCCGCTGCCTCTCCGCTGTCTTCCGTCAGGGGGCTTCTAAGCACTCTGGAAATGCGCCGCCTTTTGTTGACAGCCGTGCGTCGCTGCGTGCACCACCTTGCCCACAGAGCGATGGCTGCCCATCGACCGACGGCTGCTGCCTCAAGAACTTTAGAAACCCAACAAACAGTCGGCTGACTGCCCCAGCACCCATGACGCCGGCGGCCTCAGCAGTTGAGCCCCGGCCCCGCACTCAAGTGACCGCGCCGCTCTGATGCTCTGGCAGCCCTCCTGGCTGCATGGCTTCGACCCTGGCCGCGTCGCCCCGCCGCCCCGACGCTGCAAGCACGCCTGCCGCCGCGGCACCCTCCTCCATACACACACATGTCGTGCGGCGCGCTGATTCCGTATCACTCTAAGCGCCCTCATAGGAGGGAGCGCCGCCGTCAAATGTGCACCATCGAATCTGCAATTGAACAGCCTGCTGCAATTGAACGGCCGAAGCCCCGCTCACCACTGCAGGCGGTCCTCGATGCCGAGCTCCCTGAACACGTTCATCATGTTGGGGTAGGCGCCGAAGAAGATGTGCAGGCCGGTCTCGATCCAGTCGCCGTCCTTGTCCTTCCAGGCCGCGACCTGGATTGGTTGAGGACAATACATCAGAAGCATGGGCAGGCGGACGCTGCCCACATGCATCACGTTTCAGGCGCCGATAATCAATACCACAGGGGAGCAGCCGTGCAACTGCAATACCAGCTGGTTTCCTACAGCGGCGGGCTACAATTTCAGCAGCGCCGCAGCCAGACATGCGTGCATGGGTGTATGTGTGATGCAGCCCGCCCTGCGCAAAGCGCGTGGTGCAAGCGGCGCGCAGCGGCGCCTTGCCGGCCAACGGATCCACAAGCCCATTGGTGCCGCCGCATTCCCACCTTGCCACCCAAAACATCGCGGCCCTCCAGCACAACCGGCTTGTGGCCAGCGTCGCTCAGGTACTTGGCTGCCGAGAGGCCCGCAAGACCGCCCCCCACAATCGCCACCTTGAGCGGCTTAGCGGGCCTAGGAGCATTCTTAAGCTTCGCTGACAGCGCCTGAGCCTCCTGGAAGGTCTCCGCGGTGTCGAAGGCCGGCCGCGGGTAGTCTCTGGCCTCCACGCGCAGCGAGCGCCGGCTGCCTATGCGCGAACCAGAAGCACCGCGCTGCAGCACTCCACTGCGGGCAGCGCGATGCGCACCGACCGAGGTCTGCATTGTGAGGCTTGGCTGCGACAGGACGAGGCTCCTGCAGAATGCGTAAGTGAGCCTGATCGATGCAGGAAGAGACGTAATAAGGCAAGTAAGTGAACATACGTAGGTCTGATGGCCCAGACGCACACGATCGTTGTCACCGCATACGATCGTCGGGTGACCGCCACGGTATCCAGGTACAAGCGCGACACAACAAGAGTCGAATAAACAAGGCTGGTTGGGAACTCAGAAGCTAGCAGCTTGGTGCGGAGGCGCCGTTGTGTGCAGCCTGTGCCACGCATTGACCAGCAGGTTGTGGACTCAGCCGCTCGCTGCTGGTGCACCTCTGGGCCTGTCACAGCCATTGTCGTTACAAACGAGCTGACAGCCTGCCTGCTGCATTTCCGGGCATGATAAGTTACTTCACCAGCCTGTTGTAGCCTCGCGCCCTCGCTTGCTGCCCATCTCCAACCTCGCTCCTCCATGCTCTTTTTGACTCATTGGTCACTGCCGGCCTTGCGGGGTGCGATGACCTGGAACCCTACACGCTGCCAGCCGCCCCCTCCTCGAACGCCGCCCTTTCATCCTTGGCAATGCCCTCAGCAGCCTCGTCCAGCCAGTCCTTCGGCAGGATGCTGGGCCCCACCGAAAACCCTCCGCCCGCCAGCGTGCAGCCGCCGTTCTCCGCCCTGCCGGCGGCCTGGCCAGCCGCGCCGTCGCTGGCGGCGGCCCTGCCCGCTTGCCGCGCCGCGACCTGACGCGAGAGCCTTTCCAGGTCTGCGACCGCGGCTTCGTGGCCGCCGGTCATGAAGGCCGTGTGCTCTTTCAGGTGCTGAGCCACAAAGTCCCTGGGGATTCGCGCAAGGGTAAGGAGGTCCCAGGGTTGATGAGGGCAAAGAACAGTCACCAGCATTATGTGCAGTTAATTGCAGCAGGGTCAAGATAAGCGAATGCTTGAACCAACTGGGATTGGCGATGCCCGCTGCCGGCCCCGCATGCGCCAGCGCCTTTGATGCCAGCGTGCGCACCTTGCCTCCTGCGCGCGCGCCCGGCTCTCTTCCTCCTTGGCCTGCACCAGGCTGAGCTGCTGTGCCAGCTGCTGCGCCTCCTGAGCCGCCTCCTCCAGCTGCTGGTCCAGTTGCTGTGGTGCAGCAGGGCACTGTTGACTCAAATGAACATGCACGCATCCTAGCGGCTGCCGGCAGTCGAGTCACAAAGCGCGAACGGCGCTGCCTTCCCGTGCTGAACGATGGGCTGGACACACGTCGGCACGGCAAAGCATGCGCGAATCAGGCAGGGGCACCCACCTTCTGCGTGTTGTGTGCCGTATCCCTTGACATCAGGAGCTGCAGGGTCTGCTCTTTCATCTGATCGCGCTCTGCAGGGTGGAAGCAATGGGGTCTTCAGGAGTCCGGAGGCCAGCCTTGGATGACTAGTGGCAACCTGAAAAATTATACAGCTGGCATGCCTCCGGCCGTGTGGTGAGGCCTGCATGCTCACTCCCTGCAGCACATGTCGGAGCGACGACGCTGTGCATTTCATTCGAGGGGTGGTGGGTGCTTGAATCACAGATTTTAATAAACCATGCACGACAGCCACCTTGCACAGCGGCGGCCAGGTCCGCCTTGCGGGCGTTGATCTCCTGCAGCAGGCCCTGGCAGTCCATGTTGCGCTCCAGCACCTGCTGCTCCAGGTCTGCGCAAATGACGGGATCAAACAGAAGTCAGGCGGCGGAAGGGGAGGAGCGCCACAGGGCCTGTTGTCGTGTGCTCCGAGGCCCCTGCCTGCTATCGCGTGCAAAGCAGCCAGCTGCGGCAGCTGTTACTGCCTAGAGGCAGCCCCTGCATGCAGGCTGGAAATACGTGCGTACGTAGGGGGGGGGGGGGGTTGCCGCCGCACGGTTGAGCAAGGCGTCTGCATGCCGTGTGCGCACAAGCGGGGAGTTTGCCTCACCGTGCAGCATCTGACGCGTGCTGCGCCACGCGTCACGCCCAGTGGCCATATTGTTGCCCTGGTCCATGGTGTACAGAGGCAGTCGCTGCAGAGGAGAGCACGCAAGGCAAAGGGCCTGGGCTACTGTCCTTGAGGTGGCAGTGTCAGCGGGAGAGCACGCCTATCACGCTTTTGCAGGAAGTTCTTTTGTCTTGTAAATATCAAGGATGGCTGCACTTTTTGGACCGATGGAAGAACTGCATCGATGATCTGCCTTCCTCGGCCTATTGTGATCTCGCTGTGCGATCGATCACTTGCAATTCTGTTGAATTGCTTTGATTTTTTTCAAATTTTGCCGTCCATGGCTTCATCAGTCCGTGCTTGAGAAGGTCGACGTGATCCCACACGTATTTCTCGTCATTGGTCGGCGGGAAACGCACCATCATCGTCATCGACCGAGATCCTAAGTTATCATGATCACACCAGGTGAATGCTTCATCCTTGCCCCGCACCGCGCCGAGCACAACACGGCACGCCTCTCGATTTTTGAGCACCCAGGGACACCTTTCCGTGCGGCAATCAGGCCAATGCCAGCCAGGAGGGTGATCTTAACTGCATGCGAGCATCTAAAATGGGAAGTTGCAGTTCAACACTGCAGGGTGCTCTTTCTACAGCAGTCACGCTTGTCACGCTGACGCCGATCCAGTCGGTCAGCATGCCGATGTCGTCGTCATTAGTTGTTGGCCAGCTGCTGGATGCCATGTGGGGTATCACCAATCTGCCAGCAGTAGCTGCCCTGTACCAACCATTTACCTGCCAGCGGTCCCACGTTGGTGGCCTTTGTCGAGACTGTGCATATGTCTCGCTGTGGCCAAACGTCATGCACCTGACAAACCTGCAAGCTGGTGGCGGGGCGAAGCTGCCCCACCTGCAACAGGGAGCTTCCATTTTAGTGCTGCCTGCTGAGCTGCCAACAAGGCCCACAGGCAGCAGGGGGCCCAGGCAAGGGGATGTGCACATCTCGTACATCCAAACGACGGAGGCAGCTGCACAGCTCCGTCAAGGGCTTGCGGGGTCAGTGTGCCCAAAATTGGCAGCTTTGCTCTATTCAGGCCACAGCCCTTGACTCATGCATTCGATTGCTCTCACCTGCAAGTTGGCCTCACTGCTTCCACAAAGCCACCGGGCGTTGTGCACATCTGTGATACTTCCTGTCTGCGCACCTGCGTGTGGTTTGGTGCGATTATGCGCTCGACAATGCCCCTGAAGCGCTGGCTGCTGGACAATGCCCTGACAAGTGCTCGGGCACAAGCAGCTGGCGGTTCACGGGCTCTTTTTCAACTGACTACTGCGTGCTGGATTCACAATAGTATCAGACGTGGTCGACCATTAGTCGATGAATATCTTCCAAGGCTAGACCCAGCATTCTAGCGAAACATGGTTGCCAGCTTCGACTGCATGCCGCCTGGAGGGGGATGGAGAGGCAGGGCATTGAGGTCCTTCACACTCACTGCCTGGGCGGCCAGCCAACCGCTGCGCGTGCGTGGAGGCGGGTGTGCGGCGTCGCTGGTGAAATTCGCTCCCACAACTAGGTGAACACACAGCTCTCCCGTACTGTCTTGTCATATCGCAAAAAGCCCCACAATGTTGAGGTTCAACCACCGTACCAAAGCAAACACCTGTCCAACACATTTTGGACAAGTCATGTGCCCCATCGGGGATGTATGCTACCAGATGCGCAAACAAAATTGCGGGGTATAGAGCAGCCGTGTGGCTGCGCCCATGCGGCTCCTGCCCGGGACGTGCTGAATGCTGTGACGTGTTGGCCGCGAAGTCCACAACCGCCGTGCTGTTGGGGTAGGATGAAGCTGAGCCGCGTGTCATATGCAATGCATTGATGCAGGCTGCCACCGTTATAGAATAGAAGTATACCTCAACTACCTTGGAGTCGTAGTCGGCCGTCACCGTCTCACCGGGGATCAAAGGAACAGGTGTGCGGCAAGCAGCGGAGTACACAAAGCGAGTGCCCGTACCCGTTCCTACCGGGACTCGTGTCACAAAATCACCCGTTCCACCGGGACTCGCAGGCTGCCACATACATACAACACATGGGAAACACTTGAAAGTTTTACTTGGGAGGATCCCGATAGATAAGATAGATCGCTCACGTTTCCTTCGGGACCTCCCATAATTGTGGATCACCTGGCTGCATATCCAACAACCTACACCGCTTCAGCAGACTGCCTGACTCTTCGCACCTGATCTGCAGCTGAGCTCTGCCGCCTGCAGGCCCCCTGTCGGCTCTTGGCAGAGCACAAAAGCCTAACAACATCTGAATCGGCCATGAAGCCGCTGCCAGCGCTACCACAGCTGGGCAGCGCGGACGATGATGGCGGCGCATACGGCGACTTGGACGAGCGCGAGCTGCTGGAGGGCTTTGAGGGTACCAGTGTGCACGAAAAGCTGGTAGATGCAGACTTCTTCAATCGGTTCGAGGATGATTTTGACGAGGATGACATGGCGCTGCCGTGAGGGGCTGCGTTTCGAGCATGTCGGTGCCTCGCGCAAAAGCGCGCTGCAGCATGCACCCAGGCGCCGCATGATGCACAGATCGTGCTGTCGCAGCTTTCATTCTACCTCCTCAGTTTTGTGACTCGCACCCATGTCTGTTTTGTGTGCGCTTTTGCTCATCGGCCCATTGTACCTGCTTGATGGCTGTGGGCTCTTTCAATAACAGTGCCACGCGTCCCTGGCACTGTGGCATGCTGCAACAACTGGTTCTAGTCGCATTGCATGGGCACCTTTTTCTGAGCACACTTGTGAGTCTTGGTAGAGTAATGCTGAAAGTCAAGAGTCCAAAGTCCGAGGAGCGGCAAGCTTTGCAGCAAATGATGGCAGCAAAATGACCGGCAATTAAGCGATGGTCTAGGTTGCCTGAACGCAATGCAGGTTGGTGAAAACATTGCAGCAGCAATTAACCACAGGTTAAGGGCGAAAATTGTGCAAGAAGCAAATGGTACATGCCAACAAACTCATCAGCACAAGCAGGTTGTTTGGCTGTGACTGTGCCCACATCGCCCTTCCATGGTTTTCATATGGATAGATGAATTAGATTCTTCAAAGTTGAGATTGTATAAGGTGCCCTGTCCTCCATGTAGCAGCCCTTGTCACCAAGTGAGCTGGAGTGACGAAGGGCACGTTATCGTGAGCATGAAGCGTGGGAGCGTCGGTCGTCGACTTTGATCCTTGAATTCACCTGTATGTATACTCAAAACCACCACAACATAGCCTGCAAGCTCCTATATGATCTGTTGCCGCGGTCCGAAATCCGTATCTTCCGAGAAATAGGCAATTGTGCGGCCGCTGGGCATGGCCGATGAGGCTGTTCAGCTTGAGGCTGAGCTACGCCAGCAGCTGGACGAGCAGCGCGCTTCATTAGCAGAGGTGCGCGCTGGCCGCGCTGCATGCGTCGCTGCGTTCATGCACTCGCCCCCGGCAACGCACATCCCTTGCCGCACAAGCAGGTCAACGACATGCTGCAGCTGGACCCGGGCAGCGAGGAGCTGCAGGCGCTGGTCGAGCAGCTGGCGGAAGCCGTGCAGCAGCTGCAGGCCGCACTGCTTGACCTCAAAAAGCAGCGCATGCTCATGGAGCTGGATGCGATGGAGGCGGGGGTCGCCGCGGCCGCCGCCGCCCCCCTCAACGCAGCCGAGGTGGCCGCCGTCTTGCCAGCGGACGCAGCGCCAGGCCCGGTGACAGGGGCCGCCGGTGGCGTGCAGGGGTTTCCCTGCTCTGACGGCCGGGAGCACAGGGGCCGGGGCGCGAGCGGCAGCGTGAGCGACGGCGACGGCGGCGGCGGCAGCGAGAGCAGCGGCGAGAGCGGCAGCGGAAGCAGCGGCAGCAGCAGCGGCAGCAGTGGCGGCTCGTCTTCTGATTCAGAAGGCGAGCCGGAGGAGGGTCACGGCGGGCTTGGGCTGGGCGGCGCGCTGGGGCACGCGAGGTGAGGGCCTGCTGCTGCATACACATGGCCTGACGCGGATAATGCAGACAAAGGGGCATCAAATGCCGGGCGCGCCAGCTGAGATTGCCTCCTCGCTTGCCGTGGCAAGTCCATCTGCTTGAAGCAGCGAGATGGTCGTGACAGTGACGCCCCCGGCGTTGTTCACCAGTTTTCACCGACCGCGCCGCGTCAGGGCCGCCGCGAAGGCGGGCGCGCAGACGGAGACGGTGTTGTTTGCAGCGTGGGAGGATCACGGCAGAGGGATCGCTTCGAAGCTCCTCGCGCGGATGGGGTGAGCGCCCGGGCTGGCAGCCGACGCAGCTGTGTCCGCGTGAACGGACGAGGGTCACAAGCAGCCGCCGCGCGCCACCGCACCTGGGGGGGGGGCGGTGCCTCCAGCTGCCGCGCGTATCTCTGATTTGAAGGGCGCTTTTCACGACTGTGCAGAGCATGTGCATCCCTGCGCCACCGTCCCGCCTCTGACGGCGCCTTTGCTTGGCATTGCTCGCCCCCCCCCCTCCCCCAAAGGTACAAGGCTGGGGCGGGTCTGGGCAAGGGTGGCTCGGGGCTGGTGGAGCCGCTGACTGCGGAGCAGCTGCCGAAGCAGCGCGGCCTGGGCCACAGGAAGCACCACCACCACAAACACTCCAAGCATCACAAGCACCGGGACGGCGAGGGCGGGGAGGCAGGGGCAGACGGCGGCGGCGGCGGTGGCGGCGGCGGCGGCGGCGCAGAGGGCGAGGGGGAGGGGGAGGCGCGCGCGCGGAAGCGGCCGCGCGGCGGCGAGCGCGCGCGCCGGAGAAAGGAGGCGCACGCGGCGCGCGCGGACAAGCAGCGGCGCGCGGACGGGCGGCAGGCCGCTGAGCTGGCGGGGGAGGCGCCCGGGCTGTTTGGGTTCATCAATCAGTCGCTGGGGGAGGGGTCGGAGGC